CTAATTCGTTCCTAATAACCGTTAAGGGCCGTCTAACCATTAATATAAGGTTTAAGACCGCCCCTCAGAAATCGATTTCATGCCAGATATATTCAAATCGCCTGAAATTTAGAGAATATGTTGAGACTATAGTGAAAAAGTTATGATAAAATTTTCAGTATTGCCCAGGCAGACACAAAAACGATGTTTAAACATGTTAATATGTGAACCCATTTAAACAGTGTCATTAGTCGTCAAAAATGCGTTAAAACGGTTTATGAAAAATTCACTTCTTAACGCATTTTAACCGGTTAAATGCTTGGAACTGTCAACACTTGAACTGTTTAAAAGGCTTAAATGATGAAGATTAACAACTTATAAATAATTGAATTTTCTTTCCGTTGATTAACTGATCGATGATATTCAAATTATAACTAAATTAATGTGAAATTGATATTTATTTATTCATTCTTTGAAAACAGTACTGAGAATTTCTCCCTCATCAATCTGTTTCTTTTTATTTAAGGTTAAGTTTACATTTAATTATTCACTTATTTTCATCTTTTCTTTTTCTCTTTTTTCTAATAGTAGAACGGAATGACAAGACTTTCATGCTGTTCGATCCAACCTACGTATGTTTATCGTCCGTTTCACTTTTAGAAAAAAAAACAGAGGAAGAAAAATAAGTGAATAGTTCAATGTAAACATGATCTTAAATAAAATGAAAGGGATTTATGAGGGAGAAATTCTTGGTACTGGTTTCAATGAATAAATGTCAATTTAACATTAATTTGGTTATAATTTGAATATGATCGATCCGTTAATCAACAGAAAGAAGACTGAATTATTTACACTCGTTGCGCACTTTAAATAAGTGACCGATGAGGTAGATTCGTAAATAAGTTATAAATACTACGGCTAAAGCAGACTTCGATGAAAAGAAAAGACAGATCACAACTTATCTAGCCAGTTTCTAGTATCTAGAAAGCTACGACCAGAACTACTATGGCAGGCAAAGGTTTTGTTTCGATTTTAGATGATAAATTTAACTGCATTTGGATCAAATTCTAAAGTATCGAAGTTTAAAGGTTTGATATAACTAGAACCGGCAATAATTCACTATAATGTCTCATAATTCTAGTATGTTTTAAGCAAATTTCGATATTGATTAAGCTACACCTATGCACGAGTATAATTATGTATTTTTTTCTCTAGACTAAGGATTTTTTTTCCAGCTCATTTATCTTTCGATAACTTGAGTTCTCTTTAGTAGAAAACTGAACTGTTTCAAGCTACTCATTTTACATACGTACTCAAAATGAGCTTTTCTTATCAAACATTCTAACTGAAGGACGATTAATGGAATTGTGCTAGACTAATCCTTGATGAACTAGTGTTATGGTTGTATTTTCATCTGTATCGTATATACCACGGTCACTCTAACTCAGCGATCATCATCTTAGTTTTGTATAGGAACTCTCGATTAGTAACAATGTTATAAATGTCCTATTGTTTCACTTATTCTAAATGATTTTTCTCAGAAAACAACTTATGTAAACTGAACATCACCAATCTTACACACAAGAAGCATGTTCATTGCATATAGTGAATCTAATATTAATTCTTAGTATAAGTTAGAAGTTGAGTGACCTGCTCAATTGCACAGCTACTATGTGAACAAAACAGAACAGAAATGACGTGAGAATAAAAAGAACAGGCTAACAACTGGACGAGAGAGTGATAGAAGAATAATGTTTTTCCTTTCTCCGCTAACTGGACGAAAAGAAAAGACAGAACGAAAAACAAAAAAAATTTCCTTTAAAGATAAATGATTGATGAACCCTGTTTCTATCTGACGAAAAGGAATAAATAAAATATAAAATAGTTTATTATTGAAACTTTTATTAAAAAAAGCTAACCTCAAATTCATTTCATAATTATAATCTATACGACGAGAATAGACTAACTTGTTTATCTGCATTGATTATGCTTGTTACTCATATGCACTTGTAATTTTAAAAGAGAAATAGAGAAGATTACGGTTATGGTATAATATAAGGCAGAAGGAATCATCTATGTAGTCAATATGACATATTGATATAGAGTAATATTAATGATGATTTTCTCTTATCATTAATATCACATCTGATGCTTTACTTTTTATTAAAACGAGATACATGTTTCAACCATCAGTTGCCTGTTATTAGTAAGTGTCAAATAATAACACTTAATATGTGGTAGAAAGTAATCAGACTGATTACTTACTATTTCATGTTGCGTGATCTAGATATATTCGATCGTGTATAACTACCACAGAATAGTTAAACGAAACACTTACCGCTCACTAGTGAAATGTGAGTAGTGAAAACTACTACCGAACACCGAGCTGGTCAGCTATGATGCACATTACTCACTGAGAACATACTAGTAATATGATTTTAGTGATTTTGACTTTTCTCTGAATAATTGAAGAAAAACGAAAACATTTTTGTTAAAACATGTTTTTTTCAGAAAAAACGCGAAATTGCGACGTTTTTAACGGTTTTGGCTGTTGTGCTTGAAAAAAGATCGTTAAATCGTGTTTAGAATAAGAATTTCGCCGATAAACACGCTTAAACGCGTGAAAACGCTTTAAACGGTCAGTAAACGCGTTTAAACGCAATTTTGACCGTTAATTGCCTGCCTGGGTGTACCATGACGTTTGACAAAAATATTCACCAAACAAGGGTCAAAAATAAATCAATGGGCAAACAAAATTTCTCTTTTCAGACTCATTCTATAAATATAAAAATTTTTATTGTTGAACGGAACATGCCTGGATACTATGCAGCACAAAGCCATTTTTCTAAATTCTTACTTTGTAAACGGAGAAACGATTTGACAAGTTCAATACACTAAAAAACTCTCGAAAAATGGGTTTCTATTGATATAAGCGTTTGCATATATAATTTTAAAAAAAGTTTAATTACGAGAAAGGACTCTGTACTGCGCTGCTTTCTGATAGGCTCTTTCAAACAAAAACAATTAATTCTATAGAGTTTTTCTGAAAAAAAGCCTAGTTTTCAAGCAGAAAATGATGGAAGTTTTTGGAAAAATACGAAGTACCAAATAAAGTCCATGTCATTTCTTAAAGATCAGGTATCGGACTATCTTCTTATGCATTCATCTCGGTTTTCAAGTTTTCACAAAAATTCACTTATTTATGATGAGAGAAGACCTTACATTTTGTCCATTTATTCTTCCATGGCAAGTCTTTCGATTAGAGAAGACCAGTTTTATAAAAATAACGGTTTCTTTTTATCAAACTTGATTTACGTCATAAAAAATGAGGCTTTCAGGTCGATTGTGAAATATCGTCTATTTCACAAAATTCTTTAGCAGAGAACGTGACATCAAATAGTATTATCTTCTCTGCAATCACTTAAACTCTTTATTATTAATAAGTTAAAAATTAGCAGAAGATACTTAAAAATAATATTAACGTCAAATGGATCGGTGTATCTTGAATATAAAAGAGTTCACTCTTGCCTTCTGTTTATATATTTTTGACTATTTATTTTGTTACAAAAAAGAGGATTGAATCAAAAAATAATTTATAACAAGTCGCATTTGTTCATTCTAACTGCAGAGCGGAGAGACGAGTTTATTCATCACGCAACCTGTTAGCAAGACTCACTTAACCAATACTTATTCGAAAGATTCACTTCAGACTTGATCACCTCTACGCTCAATTCTATCTTCGGCAAAATCAAATTGTTTATTGATCTAAATTCATCTCATCAACAGTTGAAATCTCAATTTTATAACTGTGCTAAGTTCTTTTTCGATGTCTATCAAGGAAACATTAAATAATAATTTTGTTTCTACAATGAATTTATTCTCTATTTTCAAGATTCGTTTCAATGAACAAATAGATGATAAGGTTTTTTTCAAGAGTAGACTTTATTCTTTTTTCGTTTACATTGATCTTATAAACAATCAAACGGTAACTTTAACTCCTATAATAAATTTATTGATTTTCTTTTAGACTCGTACCAATGAAGAAATAGACGGTAAATATTTTTCAATGGTGATCTTTATTTTTTTCTTGTAGATTCATCTCATGAACAACTAAATTCTGATTTTAATTTCTATGATAGATCTATTTTTTTTCGTTTAGATCGCCAACGAAAACCTAACTGGTAAGTTTGGTTTCTATAATAAAATAATAATATTTTTCCTTTTAGATTCGTGTCAATGAACAAATAAACGGTTATTCTTCTTCAATACGAAATTTATATTGTTTGCTTTAGGTTCATCCCATAGACAAAAAAACGGCGCGTTTCATTTGTATGACACATGTATTTTGTTTCTTTCTGAGTGATGTCAACTCATAACTGACTAGTAAGTTGGCTTCGATAAGATAAGTTTTCGTTGTCTCTATTGCAACTATAAATGAGATCGTAGTGATGGATTCCAAGCTTCTTTGGGACTCATGATCATTCAGAACGTATCAATTAAATTATTTCCTTCAGTGAAGCTCTTCAGAAAAGCATTAATATTATCAAAAGAAACTGGATGTTTTATGCTTAGTAGACTGTTCTTTTGTGCTGGTTGAAGCAGTCTTTCAGGTAGAAAAAGCAAGTTTGATATAGAACTAGATTTTGCTAGCATCTTAAAATGCTCAGAAAATGGTAGCCAAAGCTAGAACTCTAAAAAGTTCAGCGTAAAACCTTTGTTTTAGAGCCTAAAACAGGAAATATCTTATTTCTTAATTCGAATTTCTACAGAGATCGAATGCGATCAAATCAGTTCCAGTGCAACATGATTTTGTTTGCTTTTACTTGTACTGTGCAACATCTCGTGTCTTTGTTTTATTTTTGTTCTTTGAAATTTATTTTTTATTTATGATGAATATACCTTGCGATACACTGAAATTTATACCTCATTCCTGCATATCGATTATCGAAAAAAAAGCAAATTGAAATAGGCTTAAGCAAGAAAATAAAAGAAAAAAAATATAATGAAAGCGTAATGTAAATTTATCTAGTGGAAGAACTTCGTAATAAATGGTTCGTTTGCATATAATCAACAATAGCTTGTGCATATTTTCGGGCGTTATCGAGTCGATTATTTGCTGTACGCATCCAATTAGGTAATTCAGTTTGAATGGCATTAATTCTTGAAATATAGTTAGATGTTATATATCCACCAGAAAGAAAATCAATACTGCCAGGTTTTGGATTAGCAAGCGATGGATATACAACATCAAGTCCATTACGTTCAAGTGCTGTGCCAAACGAAGAATTTCCACGAATACATTCGTTTCTATTCGATCCACACAATGGTTCAATCGATGTTGTTACTGATAGTGTATTAAGATTGTCTCGATTAAGTTGTGCACCAGTCAAAAGATATCCAACCATAGTATAACTAAATAAAATGAATTACTTGGTAAATAATATAAATAATGTTACTTTTTACTTACTTTCCATCTCCGTGACCATGAATATCGATGAGAAGACCTCTACCAAAAGTTGCATTTATTTGATTAATAGATTGATCGATAAATGAATGATAACCTTGATAAGCAGCTATAGCTTCAGGATGATTGAATGTTGCTTCATTAATTTCTCGATTAAAATCAACTTTCTTACGACTCCATTTGGCAATAATAACTGATGGTTTATATCCCCATGTTCTATTCAATTCATTTGCTACATTTTCAGCAAATTCATCACTTTGCGCATCTTTGACAGTTGTTGCATTACAACGTGTACCATCAACACATGTATCATTGTAAAACCATGTACAATTTCCAGCATTCGGGCCTGACATACGAAGACAACCTTGTGTTCGATTTGGTACATCAGAAGGTGTTACATTACCACCATGCGGTGCCGAAATAAGAAGATTAATAGTGCAATTTTGATGAAACTTAAATGATGATCGATAACCCAATGTATATGGTAATGGTTCTTGTTGTATTGATTCATGTGGAAAAAAAGTAAGGGCAAGATAAAACACACCGAAAACAACGAACATGTTTATGTAAAGATACTTAGTAATAGCAAAATTATATATTCAAGCTAAACACACGCTAGCATTATTTATTTATTTTGTTGCATGTGTGCAGTCAAGCATGATTATTGACGTCAAGATTTGACTCAGGTTTTTTGTAACGCAAGTGATGTTATATGTATAATGAATCTACATGTATGAGTCAATTAATAAAAAACTTCGCATCGATTGATGTATTTCACAATTGTTTTAAATAAAATCACTAATAAAAAAACGAAAAACTCTGAAATTGTCTTAAAATTATGTCCACGAGGACAAAATTTTTTCTTCATGACTCATCTACAGCGTACCTGATAGTGAAAATTATTCCAGGCTACATTGTTGTTAATACGGTCTTTTTAACACTCATAAGATCACGTCTCTAGGTATAAATGTGGCTGAGTTATATCAAATACAAAAGTGTTTTAAAATTATGTTCAATACTTGAGTCTGAACCAAATGAAAAATTGAAGGTTGTACAAGACTTAAAAGAATCAAATTTCGCTCATACTCCTAAATATGTTTAAACATTATGTTAGACTAGTGACATTAGTACAACGCAGTTACGCCGTATTTGTGAAATTTTTAGTGTAAGTACGCGTAACTGCATAAGAGTTGCTAAAAAAGAGACGACATTGAACAAGATTTTCGTTTTATTCTTATTGTGGTTAGCAATTATTCTTGATATTTAATATTATCCATAAAAATTAACTAAATACTAACTGTAGGCGAGGAATCCAAATTTGATCTCAGATTTCTATTTTAATATTTATCTTATGAATTATTAATAATTTATAACAAAAACTTTCATAATTCATAATGAAAAAATGAACAGTTCATTATACAAAACTTTATAATATGAAAATCTGAGCTCTAGTTTGAGTTCGCAATATTCGAAAAGTTCAAGTCTCTGTTTTGATTCCAAAAAAAGTTGAATCAGACTGCATACACAATCGGTTGTAAGACAAATGAAATATGAGCCACACTCTCGCGAAGACTCCGTTTCATACGGTCGTTTTGTGACTGATGCTTGTCGCTTGAGTATAACCAATCTCATGTAAGATGGAACTGTTTATGATTGACTGGTATTATATACACTGGATCGTTCCATACGATCAATGCACCGTAGCTACGATCAAATTTTCATGATTACATGATGTTTCGGTGCAGAATTACCTGTATGTGTAACTGTGACTCAGTTATAAACTTTCTTATGATATTAGTACATAAGAGTTAAATTTAAAGGAATGTTTATATAACTGAGCCGAATGTTATGCACAAATAGTTTGGTATAGGTAATTTCGATTGTTATTCTTAAGCCGTAATAAACAACCTCCAAACATTGAAGATTTAGCTTTAGATTTCGTTTTCATATTTTCAAAAACATTATCGTTCAATTGTGTACTAAAGTTAAATAGAAAAAAGATTCAGTAGTATCATTTTGTCTCCAATAGTAAATTACATAAAATCCCTTTTTCATGTAAAATAATATATATATATATATATATATATATATAATGTTGTTGTATGTTTTTGGTGACTAAATACATGAGTAAAACAGAGGTTCGATGGAATCCAAAATAATCATCTAGGATAGAAGCTGACAGATAAGATTTTTTCCTAATCAGTTAACTAAAGAATGCTTTTAAGCGACTGTCAATATGGATGAAACTGATTGCGAAGTTTTTTTTTGTTTTATATGTTTGTCTTATGGTAATAATGATGGTCATTTGTTCATTGGTTCATCTTCCAACAAAAGATTATGTTGTTGACTTCGTAATTGATACAAATTAAATGCCATCAATATCAATACAATGACAAAAATAATACTTTCGATGATATTATATGATAAACAACAATTTTGAATAAAGGAACAAAGTATCCATATATATGATGAGTGCTGATGTTGTCAATACTATGAAAAGAATAATGAATAATATTCATATTTGCAAATATTTTTGCATGAGATTTTATTTCGAGAAAATTCTTATCGAATAGAGTCAAAAATCCCTAATAACAACACGAAAAAATTCACTTGTTTTGTTTGTTTTGATGTATAGCCATTTCACATTCGATTGAAAATATTTTTATATATATACATGATCGTTGGAGTCTGCGCTTTCGAATGATATAACTGCGACCTTTTTTCTTAAATGTTAGAATGAAGAAATCAGCG